AAAGTTACTTCTCATAGTTCTGGAGGCTGGGAAGTCCAAGATCAAGGTGCCAACAGATATAATGTCTAGTGAAAGCCTGCTTTCTGGTTCATAGAGCCTTTCCCTGTGTCACATGGCAGAAAGGGCAAGGGCAATCTCTAGGGTCTCTTTTAAAAGGGCACTAATTCCATTTGTGAGGGCTGCACCCTCATGCCCTAGTCACTTCTCAAAGGCCTCACCTCCAAACCATCACACTGGTGATTAGGTTTCAAAGTATGAATTTTGGGAGGGGGACACATTGAGTTTATAGCAGTCCTCTTCATCAGAAACCTAAGAGGCCCTGCTGCTTACTTAAGAAGGAGGCACTGAATTCAGCTGGAAGGAGGGAGCCTCAGCCTAGTGAGGGTCATGGCATCCTGACCTTGGCAGCCCACACACAAAGGTTGCATCAGCCTCTGTTGGAGAAGCACCTCTGGCAAGAAATGGGACCTAAGGAGGTTGATCCCAGGTGTGGTGGGTGTCTGGCTTCCAGGGCCATACCTGTCAGCTCTATTTGGGGAGCAAGGTCAGATGTGGATCCAGCTTCACAATCTAGGAAGCTGAAAGGATCCCTTCTTTCCCAAGATGCCATAACCAGGCCTCCTGTTCCTCCAACCACACTCACTGCCACACAGGCTGTCCCACAGGTCCTTCCTTGTTGACTCCCATACCCCCAGCCTCCACACCTGCTGCCATGGAAAGGAAATTGGAGGGCAGTCCCCCTCGAGTGACCCAGAAGCAAAGAGCTGTAGGGGAAGTAATGGACCCAGATGGTGGCAGACATTGCAGGAAAACAGCCTGCTGTTGGAGCCCCAGGGCATGCTTCCACCCTAGATTGCCACTGGCAGCATTCTGCAGTACTCAGGCCTGTCAAAAATTTAGATGATGTAGATGGGAAAAAAAAAATCCATCATAATGGGCACTTAGAAACATCTTAATCATCACGCTCATCGTCATTATTGGTAACTTGATTTTTACCACATTTTTTTTGTGCCAGGCATTACTCTTTGCATAGTAATCTATTCACTGAGCATTTAGCATGTCTAATTTCTTTACTTGTCTTGTCCCAGTGACCCTAAGGGGCTCACTCATTTTATAGATGAGAAAGTTCAAGCTTGGAAAACTAAAGTCATTTGCTCAGGGTCACACAGTAAGTGGTGGACCTCAAACTCAAATCCAAGTACTCCTGGCCCTGAAGCTGGTATTCATGATCTCTGTATTATGTAAATATCTTCCAGAGTCACTTCTAGAACTAGACAAAACAGATGAGACATGGCTTAAGCATATTGAAACTCTTAGAAGTAGTATAGCTTCCAAAAAAGGTAGCAGCGATTCAGTATAGGGGTCACCAAAAGAGGGATGTAGAGGTAATAAGGGAAACAACAAGGTGGATGCAACTGCCAAAAGGGTGGCCCTAGAATCAGTAACTTGGCAACTACCCCTCATACCTCGAAGGCCAAATCCATCCAATTATTCCCCAATCTACACAAAGGTAGAATTAGACAAAACCTGAAAATGTGTCTTCAACGGGGATTTGGGAGGCCATGGGTGGCTACTTAATGAACATTGGATGACAGTTCTTCCCCCAAACTGTAGCTTGTCAAACCTTCAAGCAGGTCCATCAAGGGACTAACTATGGGAGGGAAGCTCTATATAATTGGCTGGTTGAAAACATGGTGACCCTGGGAATGAAAAACATAAGTGGTTGGGTAGTTGAGACCTGCCCCGTATGCACAACAAATAACCCCAACACTAGACCCCCCAGAGGTCCCCAGATAAGGCCCATTCAGACCAGGGGACATATCCTGGAGAAAATTTGGCAGACTGATTTCACCGTCATGACAAGAGTACCAAGCAATTTTAGGTATCTCTTGGTGCTAGTAGACACATTTTCTGGGTAGATAGAAGCATTCTCCACTAGAACTAGAAGGGCAGCTGAAGTGGTTAAGGCACTACTAAAAGAAATAATCCCCAGGTTTGGGCTCCCAGGATCCTTACAAAATGATAACGGTCCAGCATTTGCATCTCAAGTGACAGAGGGAATAACGAGTGCCCTGGGCATAAAACAGACCTTGCACTCAGCCTGGAGACCCCAAGGGGGGAAAGCCTTGAAACAGCCTTAGCTAAACTATGTCAGTCAACTCCAGTTGCCCTGCTCCGCCTGCAGTTAGCCCCAAGGGATAAGTTCAAGTTAAGTGCATTTGAACGCTTGTATGGTAGACCCATTCCCCAAGCCCCAGAGGAGGGACACTTTAACTTCCTTGAAATGGAACAACTCAAGTATGTCCCCCAGGTAGGAGAAACCATGGAAGCTCTCAGGAAATATGGTAACCACATGCTGCCCCCACCCAACGACTGGCTCTCCACCCACTGCCAGCCAAGAAACCGGTGCGCCTAAAAACCCGGAGAACTGGCAACTCACAAGATCAGCTCCCTCCTAAGTGGAACACACTGCCTGGTGAGCCTAACCACTCATTCTGCCCTGAAGTTGCAGGGCATCACTCCGTGGGCACATCACACTCCAGTGAAAGACCCCCAGCCCAAACCTCTAGAGAGAAAACCTGGGGCAACAGACCCCCCTGACTACCCTTGTGAACCTCTCCCTAGATTAGCAGGGAGGGCTCTGTGCTCTGTCGAATACATTGTGCTGTTTTTATGTCATTGCAAGTGGCCCCACTGCAGAAGTGCAGACAGGCCACTGGAAAAAGCAACTTGACTAACAGGAGGCCTTCAGCCTCACTGGGCCGAACAAATGCGCAGCGGGGTAAAACAGGCCTCCCCAGTATCACTTGGTTTCTCCTTTCCTGGGCCCTTTCACAACCATTGTTCTCTTGCTGATATGTGGGCCACATATCTTAAATTGTCTGATGTCCTTTGCCTCCAAAAGGTTAGAATCTATAAAACGTCAAATGCTGGTCGCTTAGAGCTACAAACAGTTAGGGCTGAGCCCTGGGGACAGCAAACAGATCTGAAGGCAGCAGTGAAGAAGTTCTGCTACGCTCCCTGGGGTTATGACAGTGATACCCAAACTCAGCAGGCCAGCAGCATCCCTCAAAAATGAGACGCAAACACCAGTCAGAACGGCCATCATCAAAAAATCTACAAACAATAAATGCTGGAGAGGGTGTGGAGAAAAGGGAGCCCTCTTGCACTGTTGGTGGGAATGTGAATTGATACAGCCACTATGGAGAACACTATGGAGGTTCCTTACAAAACTAAAAATAGAACTACTATACGACCCAGCAATCCCACTACTGGGCATATACCCTAAGGAAACCATCATTCAAAAACAGTCATGTACCAAAATGTTCATTGCAGCTCTACTTACAATAGCCAGGACATGGAAGCAACCTAAGTGTCCATCGACAGATGAATGGATAAAGAAGATGTGGCACATATATACAATGGAATATTACTCAGCCATAAAAAGAAACGAAATTGAGTTATTTGTAGTGAGGTGTAGTGAGGTGTAGAGTCTGTCATACAGAGTGAAATAAGTCAGAAAGAGAAAAACAAATACCGTATGCTAACACATATATATGGAATCTAAAAAAAAAAAAAGGTCATGAAGAACCTAGGGTCAGGACAGGAATAAAGACGCAGACCAACTAGAGAATGGACTTGAGAACACGGGGAGGGGGAAGGGTAAGCTGGGACAAAGTGAGAGAGAGACATGGACATATATACACTACCAAATGTAAAATAGCTAGTGGGAAGCAGCCGCACAGCACAGGGAGATCAGCTTGGTGCTTTGTGACCGCCTAGAGGGGTGGGATAGGGAGGGTGGGAGGGAGAGAGGCGGAAGAGGGAGGGGATATATGTATATGTATAGCTGATTCACTTTGTTATACAGCAGCAACTAACACACCATTGTAAAGCAATTATACTCCAATAAAGATGTTAAAAAAAAAAATGAGAAGCAAGAAGAAAGACAGAGGAGGGATTTGTCACCAGCAAAACCCCCTGGGGTCCCCAGGGAAAAATAAGACGGAATCCAGGTGATAAGGTCTAACCTCTTCCTTTGTGCTTAGTCTAGTTTCGCTTGCCTGTAGGGGGCCGTGTGCAGAGGCGTCCCATCGGGTTAGACTTCCCAGTGCCAAATTGCCGCGCTGACACACTGCAGCTCAGCCGGCCATGTGCAGAAGCGCTGCACATGCACCTCAACCCAAGATGGCAGCAGCAGTAGGCTGCATGCAGAGAGGCTGTGCCCGCACTTAACTCTGGCCCCTCCCCCCCAGCCCAGACCCCTATAAAGCAGCCCCGTCCACCGCCTGTCAGGGAAAGTGTGTGCTATAGAGTGTGAGCTCGCACCTTTCCATTCTCTGATCCAAGAATGAAGCTTTCCTTTGCTTCTGAACCAAACTCCGCTTCATTCTATTGGTGCAAGCAATACTGGGCAGGAGGACCCTTATTGGGGCCCAACTCAAAAGGGTCAGTAACAGGAACTAAAGAAGACATGATATCTTCCTTCAGAGAGTGTGAGGTCTGACACTTCATAGCTATTGGCTAGCATGAAGCAAGAGCCTGGAACGGCCAGGGGACCACCAGGTGAAATCTAAGGATAGACTCCATGCTGTGGGATGCAGAAGGAGAGAAATGGAGCCCTGGTTCCCTCCATTGCTGGAGCAAACCTTACCTGATATCATCCCAACCACCAGACTTTTTATTCTTCTAACTAAATAATGTCTTCCACTATTTAAGCCAGTTGGAGTTGGATTTTCTGTTAATTACAACAGAGTACCCTGCTATATTAGTCCTCTTGCTGTTCTCGTTCCCTGTCCATTGCTGGAGGCCTCTTTCTCACAGGGGAAAAAAGAGGAGAGAAGAAAAGAAGAAAGGATTTGAAAGCCAAGTCTGGGAATTTGACTTCTTGGTAGCTGCTCTGGAAAGAGGTCCGACAGGGGACACTCAGAGCTGTTGGCCAGAATATGTTCCAAAATTATTTGGAAATGTCAATGTCCATCCTCTCCCTTCTCCCACAGATAATCAAGAGTTGGCTAAGAGTGATAATCCCCACCAAGTACAGCCAAGGAAATATCACCGCTCTGGAATCCTGAGTCTTTCCAGAGGTACAAGCCATCATGTTCAGAGTGAGTTCCAGGGCTGGGGGCAGAGGCCACCTCGTGTTAGTGACCCATCTGGGACACCTCAAGCCATTTCATAGACACTGGGAGGGCTGCCTGTAAGCAGTCCTGCTGGCTCCTCCTCTGCACTTCTATCCTGACCCGGAGGACAAGATGAGATGAGGCCTGAGGGCCAATCTCACGACCAGTGAGTCAGTACAAGAACTCAAGGTCACAACACAGCCCCTCCTGGGAGCAGGATCTGAGACAAGGCATGAGGCTTAGTGGTTCCTTGATGTGCCAGGCGAGAAGCTGGAGACAGCTAGGACCACCTGAGATTGGTCTGCACCCAAGATGGGGGAGAGAGGTGGGCCTGGGGGACAACAGAGTAACAGTCCACAAGCCAGGACAGCCAATGGGCTGGGCCAGCTCAGGGGCAAATCAGGCGACTGCCAGCACCTCAAGTTCCAAGAGAAGGGAACACATCACAGCAGCAGGGTTTTAGGGAGACGGTCCCTCCCCCAGGGGTGAGTCCATGAGGGGTAGAGTCCCAACCCCCAGTCTCTAGCTCCAACACATACTAGCTGTGTTCCCTCAAAGGATCTCTTAAGAGGTTCAGGTTCCTCACCTGGAAAACAGGAATAACAATAATTCCTCCCTTATAAGATTGTTGTGATGAATAAATGCATGTTAAAAGCTTAGGACAATGCCTGGCACACAGTTGAACTCAACACAAGGCAGCTCCTTGGCTACTGGGGCGACCGGGAGCTAAGATCCAATGGGGAAGCGGCAGTGAGCAAACCAGGAGACCAACGCTCACCCGTCTCTAATCGCTCAACACTTCGCATCTACAGTGGGCCAGGCTCCCAGCTGCAGAAGGAGAGGCGGATAAGAGCCAGAGTTCACCCTCCAGCTCCGAGAGCCTCAGGGAAGCCGAGTCCCCACAAGGGCTGGACCAAGGCCTTCCCTCCAGCCCTAAGTGAGGCCCCTCTGAAATGGGGATGGGCAGGCCTCACTGGGGAGCTCTCAGTGGGCTGCCTCTGGGGTCTAGGAAGGGCAGAGCCTGGAGAAACAGGCAGGAACAGACAGAGGTAAATGGGGCCTGGAGAGCAGGGGCACTACACAGAGTTGGCCAAGTGGGTGCCTGTCCATGGCCCCCTGTTTCCTGTTCTCCTTGGTGTCATGGGTCGATCAGCAAGTCCGAGGGAAAACCAAAGGGATGAGAGTCTTTGTCTCTACTTGTGTGGTTCAGAATTTCCTTAACCAATGCCCTTGAATTTTCACCCATGTTTCTGTATTTCATTGTTAAAAGTTAAAGAAAATAATTCTTTTTTAAAAAGACTCTATTCCACAAGAATATCCCTGTGTCCCGTGAATGCACTTGGAGCCTCCGCTCCCTCAATGGAGGTCAGGAGAGGTGGTGGAGCAGAATGCAGAGGGTACACCCAGAGCAAGGTGGCTGCATTTGGAACCCAGCACCACTACACCCCCAATATGAGAGCTGTGTGATCCTGGACATGTTCGCTAACCTCTCTGTGCCTTGGCTTCCATCTTTTTAAAAAATGGTGACAATGGTAACTTAAACTGGCTAATAAGTATAAAAGCACTCAAAACACTACTTGGTGCTTGGTAAAAGCTTGGTAGAGTATTTGCTAATACTGCCCCCGTGGCCCTAATCCATATTTCCCCCAAGCCCTGCAGCTCCCCCCAAGCCTCTGAGCTCCCAGCTGAGACCCAGGGGCCTTTTTATTTTTTTGGAAATATTTTATTTATTTGGTTGCACTGGGTCTTAGTTGTGGCAGGTGGGCTCCTTAGTTGTGGCATGCAAACTCCCAGCTGCGGCATGCATGTGGGATCTAGTTCCCTGACCAGGGATAGAACCCGGGCCCCCTGCATTGGGAATGTGGAGACTTAACCACTGTGCCACCAGGGAAATCTCCAAGGGCCTTTTTAATTGCCCAGTTACAGCCCAGAGTGTGGCACCAACCACACGTTTACAGGTTGAATGTAGCCACTGGGATTCCTTTGGTTACAAGTAGCAGTAAACCTGCCCCAAACTCAGATTTGGAGCACCAAATCTCACCAAAAATGAGATGTTATGAGTGCATATAACTGAAGAGTGCATGGCTCGGTTCAGATGCTCAAAGAGTGAGGTCAGGCTCTAGTGTCACTCGGTCAACTTTCTCTGCTTGATGTGTTAACTCCATTCTCAGACTGATCTCTACTCATTCTCACAAAATGGCTGCCAATAGCTGCAGGAGCTGCCTCCTCCCTGGCTCAAAATTAGTGAGAAAAGAATGGAACTACTTCCCTACAGGCTCAAACAAAAGCCCTCAATCCAATCTCCTTGCTACGTAATAGTCACCAGTGTTGGGATTAGCAAGGTCTGGGTCAAGGGCCACCCCCCAGAGGCAGAAACAGAGCCATGTAGAGAAATGGATGTCCAAACAGAAGTTGTCCACGACTCCTCTCCACAAAAAAAAAAAAAAAGGTTTGTAATATTTGAGGAAGGCAGAAGAGGATAATCCTATAGGAAGGAAATTTTCTGCTTTCTGTTTCCTTAACATCTCTAAGCAGTTCATCGCCTTTTTCCATCCCAAAAATGAGAGTCAGGGCAAGTTGTAGCTTGACAGCGAAGAAACCATGCTTGGGAATACGACTGGACCAAATTCTGGCTTTGTGGCTGACCGCCTCTGTGACCCAGGACAACTGACTGTTCGCCTTGGGCCTCGGTCTGCTTGTCTATAAAACAAGAGCAATAATCCTACCTACGTCACCGGGGTGTTGTTAAGAATTAAATAAAAGAATAATGCCTGTCTGGCCCACAGTAAATAATGAATTTGTACTTGTAGTTGTTATTAGTGCGTGGGTGTTCCTACCCAGCTCTGCTCTGTCTCACTCAGCGCTGGGCTCTGGGCCGACAGCCTTCAAGAGAGAGAAGGGGGCAGGGAGGGCCCTCCTTGAGTGACCGGCTCCCCTCCGAGGGCAAGAAGTATAGGACCCAGGAAGGCCAGGCTGGAGCACAGGCCCGAGGGTGGGAACCGGCCAGCACCAAGGAATTCCTAGGAAGTACTCGCTACCCCTGAGTTCAGAAGAAAAACACAGCATCTCTTTTTGCCTTCCTAGCCCTCTCTGCTGAGGGAAGCAGTGAAAACCTCGATCCAAACAAGACCCAAAGCTATGCCAGCATTTGCATACAGAGTGTTTATATAGATTAGGACCTCTCTGTTGACTCTCAGCTTAAACCTCCCAGGCTTTGTAGTTCAGGAAAGTTTAATGTTCTGTTTCATGAAGTTCCTTGTCATCCTAAGTGGCTCTGTCAGCTCTTAGAAGGGAAACTTCCCCCTTCAGGGTACATTTCCCCTGCCCTGAGCCGGAGAGCCCCGTTGCTAAGGGCATCTGTTCTGTTTGCTTATGAGAAGTACAGATGTGAATAGTCTCCAAGTTGCATCTTTTGTTCTGCTCATCTGGCAGCCGGGGCAGCCGGCTGATGTAACAGCTGCAGAACACTGGGGGTCCCCGAAGGGGGAAAGAGAGAAAAGAAAAAAGGCAAACGTAGCCCAGGAGAATATGCCAGCGCTCAGAGGCTTCCAAGAATTGGATCTATTCTTAGGAATCTCACTCCACATCACTCCAACCTTCATGGAGGCAGATGGGAGGCAATTTAGTTCAACCCATTTCTGTTGAGCCCTCACGGGGCAGCTGTGAGGGAAGATGGTGGCTCAAAAGGATCATGTAGATGCAGTTTCAGCCCACTGTGGGAGTACACTCCTGGCTGGGGAAGAGCTGGCTTTACTGTGAAAGGGGCTAAATCACAAAGTGTTAATTAGTGTCACATCCCTACCAGAGGAGAGGACCAGTGGATTTATGAGCAGGTGCTCAAATATTATCTGAGCCAAGCTAATTGTCAAAACGACAGATACTTCTTGAGTAGCCAGTGGGTTTCCCACACTGTGAAAGCACGAGATGAAGACTAGACGGTCGAGAAATATTTGTCTAGTTGATGACTACCTCAAACTTACACCCAAATTAACTTCACATAGCACAATAATTCCATGAAATAGGTAGGAGAAAGCATAGGTGAATACTAATCCAAATCCAGTCACATCCGATCACCTCCCCTTGCTGCCTCATTGGTCCAAAGCCACCATGGTCTCTCACCTGGGTTATGGCATTTGCTTCCTAACTGGTCCCCCTTCTTCCACCTCTGCTAGCCCACCCCTTTTTGAGTTTATTCTCAACACAGCAGCCAAGGTAATCCTGTGAACACTAAGTTGTATCATGTCGCTCTTGTGCTCAAAAGCCTCCAGTTTTGGACTTCCCTGGTGGCGCAGTGGTTAAGAAGCCGCCGGCCAATGCAGGGGACACGGGTTCAAGCCCTGCCCCAGGAAGATCCCACATGCCATGGAGCAGCTAAGCCCGTGCGCCACAACTACTGAGCCCGTGCGCCACAACTACTGAAGCCCGCGCACCTAGATCCCGTGCTCTGCAGCAAGAGAAGCCACCACAATGAGAAGTCCGCGCACCACAACGAAGAGTAGCCCCCGCTCACTGCAACTAGAGAAAGCCCGCGCACAGCAACAAAGACCTAACGCGGCCAAAAATAAATAAATAAATAAATAAATAAAATAATTGGAAACAGGAGGCATGGCTCCCAGAGGTTACCTAGGGAATGGTTTAAAAAAAAAAAAAAGCCTCCAGTTTTTTCCCATCTCACAAAGGGCTAAAGCCAAAGTTCTTCCAATGAATGGCTTTCAGGGCCCTAGGTGGTGTGTGCCCCCATGTGAGTGGAGGCACATGTGAGTGGAGGCATGTGAAAGTGGCTGCCAGAGCCTCCATATCTGACATCACGTGCAGCAGAGATGAGTTTTTCCTTGCAGAGCCTCTAGAATCTGCAGAATCGTGAAGGATAAACAATCATAACTTTTGTGAGCCACTAAGTTTAAAATGCTTTGTTACACAGCAATAGTCATTAAGATTTCATATTTTTTTTAAAGTTCACTGCTAAAAAGATTCAAAAACCACTATTATAGAAAAATATTTAATGAAAAGATAAACGCTTCATTACGCATTAAATTTCAAAAGGCTACAAAATAGTATGTGTAAAACTAAAAAACATTTTTAGTATACAAAGTATCTATAAAGTTCTCACGTAGCTTGAATTTTTAATAAATTCACTTCTATAATCGGTATAAACAACTTGCAAAATGCAACTCAAGATTTTAACAAAACTGCCAGTGATTTGTTTGCTCTAATTTCTTTATAGAGGGAAAGTGAGCAAGAGGGAAAGAAAACAAATTTTCATTTATTTCTAAACCACTTACTATCTAAACTAGACATTGTCCTCAAAATCCCAGGAAGGGAAAGGCAAAAAGAAATAGAATAAGTTAATTCTTAGGATGAGCTACCAAGAACCCAGTTCCTGATGACTTGGGAAATTTGGACAAGTTTTGGGTGTTTTTATTTTTATTTTTAAAATTTATTTATTTATTTTATTTTTGGCTGCGCTGGGTCTTCATTGCTGAGCGCGGGCTTTCTCTAGTTGCGGTGAGCGGGGGCTACTCTTTGTTGAGGTGCGCACGGGCTTCTCGTTGCGGTGGCTTCTCCTGTTGTGGAGCACGGGCTCTAGGCACATGGGCTTCAGTAGTTGTGGCTCGCGGGCTCTAGAGCGCAGGCTCAGTAATTGTGGCGCACGGGCTTAGTTGCTCCATGGCATGTGGGATCTTCCTGGACCAGGGCTCGAACCTGTGTCTCCTGCATTCCACTGTACCACCAGGGAAGCCCTCCCCGGGTGTTTTTAAATATGTTTTGTTTCATGTAGCTGTTGGCGGCAGTGGTAGTGGTGGTGCCTTTGACCCAGCGCCAAGCTAGATGCAGTTCCATTGTATTGCTGGAGAGACTAGCCTGGCTACGGGGCAGGTGAAACTGATTCCCTGTGTTCCTTCTCTGTGATTCCTTAACTCTTCCCTAGTGTCTCTAGTCCAGTGTGTGTCACTGCTCCTTTTAAACAGAATAAGCCTAAGTCAATACAACCACACTGAGTTTTCAGGCGGCTAAAATTTCATTCTTTTTATGAAGCCTCCCTCACCCTGACATTGATTTTTTTTTTTGAAACAAAGTGCAGTCGTTTACATTTTTCAGAGTTTTATTTCATCTTCTTGTTTTCAACAGTGCTTCCAGCCTGTCAAGTCCAATTGAACCTTAGTTGGATCAACACTTATACAAGCTGCTCCTCTCTGGGACTTCCCTGGTGGCGCAGTGGTTAAGAATCCGCCTGCCAATGCAGGGACACGGGTTTGAGCCCTGGCTCAGGAAGATCCCACATGCCGCAGAGCAACTAAGCCCGTGTGCCACAACTACTGAGCCTGTGCTCCAGAGCCCGAGAGCCACAACTACTGAAGCCGCGCGCCTAGAACCCATGCTCCACAAGAGAAGCCACCGCAATGAGAAGCCCGCGCACACCGCAACGAAGACTAGCCCCCCCTCGCCGCAACTAGAGAAAGCCCTTGTGCAGCAACAAAGACCCAACGCTGCCAAAAATAAATAAATACATTTATAAAACAAAAACAAACAAGCTGCTCCTCTCTGCCTTAGGTCCTCTGGAAATTTTACAAATGTGTCTTGGGTGTCTTCATTGAGAAAAATGAACTTTTTTACTCTGTTGGAGTGGGTGGAGTCTTCCTGCAGAATTTCATAGTCATTTAGTGTTTAAAAATCTCACAAACACCACCAGAAGATTAAAATAGTGTCAGACACCATGTTTATCTCTAAACTGTGTTGTTTTTGAGGTCGTGCTGCTGTGCACAGAAATGTGTCCAGCAAGGTCCTGCATATGATCCAGATGAAAAGCGCGGTAGCCTTGCGAGTTAACTACTGCTCTGATTTATTGTTTACGCAGGAAGTTTTTTCTCCCCATGCAATGTAAGTCAAACTTAGTGTTTGTCACCAATAAATGGTAATACTAAAAAAACAAACAAACAAACAAAAAAAACAAAAAAAACTAGTGTCAGACAAAAAGGTGGGAAGTATCCGAGCAGGAATTAGGTGACTTAAAGATGAAGTGCCCACAGCCACACCCAAAGTAAACATGAAACTCCCCTGAGAATCCCTTCATTTCAGTGACTGTTCCACAAATGTACTAACCCTTTCTGAGGTCCAATGCAAATATCTGTTCTGTGTTTATTATTCTAATATGTCAACGTCCTCTTCCTATTTGCCGATGTAAGTTCTTTTGAGGCAGGGATAATTGTTGTTATTTGGTTAAACAGAACACAGGATTAGGGGCTTCTCAAATGCTGGATGGGGAAAAAATGGGATGAGTCACAGTAACATGCAGGATGTTTCTATAAAAATGCCTTTTAAACATTTAATAAACATAACAAATCAATGGAGAAGGAAAGGATTATTCAATAAACAATGGCAGGATATTCATTAGACATCTTGAAGAGGAGGAAAAACTCTATTTCAGCCTTAAATTCATGCCCTGAATCAAAATAAATTCTAGAAAGATTAAAGAGACATATGATGCAAAAGCAGATCACTAAACAGACATGTAAGATTGAGGGTCCAGAAATAAATGCTTATATTTATTGTTACATTTATGGTCAATTGATTTTCAACAAAGGTACCAACACAACTCACTGGTGAAAGGATAGCCTTTGTAACAATTAGTGCTGGGACAACTGGATAATCAGAGGCAAAAAGACCCTTACCGTCATGTTATACACAAACTTTAACTCAAATTGGATTGTAGACTTACATATAAGAGCTAAAACAATAACACATTTAGAAGATAACATAGGAGAAAAGTCTTCAAGACCTTGTGTTAGGCAAAGATTTCATCAATATGACACCGCAAGTACGACCCATAAAAGAACGAACTGATAAACTGAACTTCATCAAACTTAACTTTTGTGCTTCACAAGACACCAGTAAGAAAATGAAACGACAAGCAGCAGTCTGGGAGAAAATCTTTGCAAACAGGACTCCTGTGCTCACAGAGTTTATCTTCTTTAGAGGGCACACAGAAACAAATTAACAAATAACAAAACATCAAATCATGATTAGTGCTCTGCAGAAGACAAAATGCCTGTGATATGTTGGATATTGGCCATGTTAGATTGTCTACTTAGGAAATCGTTCTCTGCTGGGAAGTCATTTATACCGAGCAATCTGAGCTCTGAGTAACAAGCAAAAAGTCAATCATGAGAAGAGCCAAAGGGAGTACCACCAGGCAGAAGCAGCAGCATGCACAAAGGCCCTACGGTGGATACAAGATTGGCATGTTTGAGTCAATGAATGATGGTAGGCGAGGCTCTGTCAATGTGGGCAAGGAGGAGAGTGATACCAGATGGGGTGGGAGCCTTAGGAGGATGCCTGGTCCCAGAGGGCTTTGTGAACTAAGGTGAGAAGTGTGTGTGTATGGGGGGGGGGTGTCCTCAAATGTGATTGAATCAGATCAGAGTATGATCTCTACTCAACAGAGAATGGATTCCAAAAGTGTGTATCACTCAAGAGTTCTTAGTTCCAAATAACAACGCTGACTCTGGCTGGTTTAGCAAAAAGAAACTTATTTTTTTTTTTAAGGATTTTATTTTAAAAGAATATTGGGCAACTCATAGATTTTTTTTGGAGGACCTGAAAAACAAGACTCAGGATCGAGCAACCAGGGACAATTCCTAAAGCCACAAGGGAGGAGCCCCCACTGCTGATGCCCCATTGGTGATACTTCTGTGTGTGGAACTTCACTTTGGCATCCTTGCTGCCCCCAAAGCTGTCGCCTTTGCTGTTTCAAAAAAAAAAACCAAAAAAAAGTTCTGCACAGACTTTCCTTTTTCAAGCTGCTCACTGCTGAATCAAAGTCTCTTAAGCATGCTGATTGGCAGAGCCTGGTCACCAGATTACATCCTGGTGGGAAGCTAGGAATTTGAGGTTTCTAGGTTCTAAATTCAGGGATTAAAACTTGTAAGGTGGGGATTTTCCCAAATATAAGAAGGATGCTTTTAAAATTACTAGGAGGGGGCTTCCCTAGTGGCACAGTGGTTAAGAATCCACCTGCCAATGCAGAGGACACAGGTTCAAACCCTGGCCCAGGAAGATCCCACATGCCGCGGAGCAACTAAGCCTGTGCGCCACAACTACTGAGCCTGAGCGCTAGAGCCCGCGAGCCACAACTACTGAGCCCATGTGCCACAACTACTGAAGCCCGCGCACCTAGAGTCCGTTCTCCAAAACAAGAGAAGCCACTGCAATGAGAAGCCCGCGCACTGCAACGAAGAGTAGCCCCCGCTCGCCGCAACTAGAGAAAGCCCGCGTGCAGCAACGAAGACCCAATACAGCCAAAGATATAAATAAATAAATTTATTTTTAAAAAAATTACTAGGAAGTCAGAAAACAATAAAATCCATTAAATGGAATGAGAATAAAAATATGAATCCAAATGAGGGGACCGGTACAGTATTTCCAGTGAGGGATAATGGGAGACGTGATAGGCTGATACCATATTATAGGACAGTGGTTCTCAAAGTAGGGCCCATGACCCACCGCATCAGCATCTTCTGAAAACTTTGTTAGAAATGCAAATTTCAGGCCCCACCCCAAACTTACTAAATCCGAAACTCTGAGGGTGAGTGAGGCTCAGCAATTTGGTTTTAACAAACCTCCCAGATGATTATGATGCCTGCTAAAGTTTGAGAACCAAATACTCCCATTGCATTGGAGTGAGAGCGTCAATGTATGAATTGGGGAGGGGCACATGATTCAGTCCACAGTAGACACGTAATATTAAGTAGATACTTTTCTTTGCTCGTGTGAGTGTAGGGTACATGAATCTGTGACATTGCTACGTTAGTACTTTCAAACCCTTCTCCTCAACCCTCATGCCTTCCACCCCTCCCCTCATCAGAGTCTCATCAAACAGACAAACAGCATCCTCACCTGTCCCCAGACCTCCGATTTTGCCACCCTGCCTCCAATGCGTTTTCCACGCACCAGACTGATTTCATGAAAAGGCAATTCCCCCCACGCCACTCCTTTGCCCCAAACCCCATAGCTCGGAACTGTTTCCAAAATGTTCCTGGTTCTAAGAATCATCAGGGTGCTTGTTAAATCAAGCCCCTCCTTACAGTTCTGGAGTGAGTCTGGGGCATCCAAAATTTTATCGTGTCAATCAAGTGATGCGTATCACACAGTTTGAGAAACGCTGCCCCTCATGATAAATTTCAAGATCCTTAGCAAAGCACAAATATGGCTTGGTAAACTGGCCCTGTCTTTTCTCTCCAGCTTCCTGCCACTCCCTCTCCCCCTGCGCCCCATTCCCCACCGCCCCCCCAGCACTCCAACTCCAGCCGTGGGGAACTATTTATGGCTCCTGAGTACCCCATTCCCTCTTGTGCCCCCCTGACTTGGCATATGCCTCTCTGTATGAAAGGATGCCCTCTCTTTTCCTGGGCCACCTGACCAACTCTGCATCTTTCACCTCCCAGCTCAAACCTCCTTCTTCCATGAAGGCCTCCCACCTCCTCACCCCTTGTCAACACTCTTTTACGCTTCTGCTGCACGCTGTGTGTTTCCACTGCAACAACCATTTTAGTTTTATATTTGCTTATTTGCATGTTCGCCTCCCCACCAGATCCCCTTATTTATGGCAGTGAGGCTTGGAAAATGTGGAGGTTTCTATCTAAGACATGGTTGGCTTTCTGAACATCTTCCCCTGACTGCGATCTTGGGACAAACCATCTTCCAGAAGATGGGATGGAGCCTTAACCCCTGGTCTGCTTCCATAGGGAGGTCGAGGAGGCCTGCTTCCAGAGGCCAGACTGCTCTGAGGCAGAGTGGTGAGAAGGCCCTTCCCCAATCTCACCAGCCAAAGAAAGTCACTTCTCTTTCTAGGGGGGAGGAAAGAAGAGCGAAGAGAGGCAGATGGGCTTCCCCCTCATACTTCTCTCCTGGGAGTGGAGGGAAAGTGGAAGCACGGGGAGTGCGGGACACACTCCCCTCACTGACCCCCATGAGGAAGTGCTTCAAGAAGGGCTGATATTTGTAGAGTCAGGTTTAAGAAGGAAGTGAGAAGCAGTTTTTCCAAAGTCAGAAGGGAAATGGAAAAGCTCATATCGCGTGAATCTGTGGAAGGCTGAGAAGGATCCTGTATGAGACTCAGAATCCAAAGTTCAAATACTCCCCAACTTCGGCAAGGTTGTGAGAAGGTGGGGAAGTGTTTAATCTCTCTAGACCCCCCTTCAGCCATCCATCAAACATCTGTCATGACCCTGGTAGGGTGAGAAGATGGCAGAAGGGCTGGGTGGACTCAGTATTAC